TAGAGACAGGGCTTTGCTATGTTGCCCAGGCTAGTCTTGAACTCCTGAGCTCAAGCAATCTTCCTGCCTCAGCCTGCCAAAGTGTTGGGATTACAAGTGTGAGCCACCACTCCCAGCTAGGCTTTTTTTTTTTTTTTCTCTGAGACAGAGTATCTCTCTGTCACCCAGGCTGGAGTGCAGTGGTGCAATCTTGGCTCACTGCAACCTCTTCCTCCCGAGTTCCAGCAATTCTCTTGTCTCAGCCTCCTGAGTAGCTGGGATTACAGGTGCGCGCCACCACACCTGGCTAATTTTTGGGTTTTTTTTGTTTGTTTTTTGTTTTTTAGTAGTGACAAGGTTTCACCATGTTGGCCAGACTGGTCTCAAACCCCTGACCTCTATTGATCCGCCTGCCTCAGCCTCCCAAAGTGCTAGGATTACAGGCATGAGCCACCATGCCCAGCCATTTTAACAATTTGAAGGTGCTCAGTTCAGTGGTTTCTCGTATATTCATGATGCTGTGCAACCACCACTACCACCTAATTGCAGAACATTCATGGCTCCAAAAAAAAGACCCCGTACCCATTAGCGGCCCCTCCCCATCCCCTCTTCCCCCCAGCCCCCGGCTGCCACCAGTCTGCTTTCTGTCACAGATTTGCCTAATGTGGACATTTCGTAGAAATGGAACCGCACAGTGGCCTTCTGTGTCTGGCTTCTTCCACTCAACAAGATGTTTTTCAGGTTCATCCACATTGTGGTGCATATCCATGATTTGCCGGAGATAGAGTATTGCTCTGCTGCCCAGGCTGGAGTGCAGTGGCATGATCATAGCTCACTGCAGCCCTGACCTCCCAGGCTCAGGTGATCCTCCCACGTCAGCCACTCCAGTAGCCTGGACTGCAGGCACAAGCCACCACGCCTGGCTAATTTTTGAACTTTTTATAGAAACGAGGTCTCACTATATTACCCAGGCTGGTCTTGAACTCCTGAGCTCAAGTGAACCTCCATGGCCTCGGCTTCTCAAAGTGCTGGGATTACAGGCATGAGCCACTGTGCCTGATTTGGTGGTTTTATTTTTTATGCCTGGGTATGCAGCTTGATATTGTGTAGTTTAACCTTTTCCTAAGTAGCACCACAACCCTTATTCCACTTAAGCAAGTTGATAAATAGCTCTTATTCCTTTGTGTGGTCTCCTTATCTGTAAATAGAGATGATAGAATCCACGTCCTTAGAGGGCTGTGGTGGAGAGTGAGCGAGCTGTGTGGAAGTGCTTAGAGCAGAGCTTGGCCCGGAGTCAGGACTCGGAAGATGCGCGCCATCGCAGCGATGGGAAAGTGGCCCCGAGTCAGGGCTCGGGAGATGTGCGCCATGACAGAGATGGGAAAGTGGCCTGGAGTCAGGGCTCCGGAGATGCGCTGTGGCTCGGGAGATGCGCGCCTTGGCGCGATGGGAAAGTGGCCCAGAGTGAGGGCTCGGGAGATGCGCTGTGGCTCGGGAGATGCGCGCCGTGGCAGCGATGGGAAAGTGGCCCCGAGTCAGGGCTCGGGAGACGCGCGCCGTGGCAGCGATGGGAAAGTGGCCCCGAGTCAGGGCTCGGGAGATGTGCGCCATGACAGAGATGGGAAAGTGTCCCCTCCGGCCCCGAGTCAGGGCTCGGGAGATGCGCACCGTTGCAGCGATGGGAGAGTGGCCAGGAATCAGGGCTGGGGAGATGCCTGCCATGACTGAGATGGGAGAAGTGCTGTCATAAATGGAGCATCATCTGTGGACAGGCTTCTTGCTGGTTTCTGGTTCTAACTTGATGATCACTGGGCTGTGAACGTTCCTGTAGGGTGGGCGTCTGGGGGCAGCACTGTTGGTCTTGGTCTACTTCACACACAGCGGTGGCCTTTCTGGACAGAGGGAGCCCAGAGCCTCTCCAGAGGGCCTGTCCCTGTGTCCGCCCCCAGCTGCAGCACACGAGGGTTCCCAGCACTTTGGGAGGCTGTGGCAACAGGTGTCAGCTGGGCAGGTGTCTGCCTGGCTGATGGCAGGAGCCAGCTGCTGGGTGGCTGCACATCCAGTGAGACATGTTGCCACAGGCCTTTGACTCGTGCAGGTCTGCCCTGAGGACTTCTCCCCATGTCCTTTGCCGTCCATTGGGTGTTTTCTGGGAAAGCCTTTACTGATAGGCCATGACTGGGCCAGTCTTGACAGCTCCCGGCGCCTCCTCTTACTCAAGGCTATGGCCATGCACCACA